CTGAAGTTGGACGCTTAACCGACTGGGCCACCCAGGCGCCCCTACATTTAACATTTGATGTAATTACTAATATAGTTAGGTTATTTATACTTCTCCAGCATTTTAAGTTTTTTATATTATTTCAAGCAGCTGTCTTGCCAGAACCAACTTCTTAGTAATGAAGATGATTTAGGAATAATTGATAGCAGAATTATGGTGGTTAGCTGGCAGCTGTACTGACACATATTATCTTTAAAAAGAAGCAATTTAAAAATGACTACATTTTCTACCTCCAGAGTAGATGGGTTAGTTTGGTACCTAGTCCAACAGTGGGACGGATTGTATGAAACTGAAACTACAAATGAAAATCCAGAATGTGTATTTGTCATCCGAAGACCCTGTAAAAAAAAAAAATTTTTTTAAGTTTGGACCAAAGCATTTCTGTGTAACTCACGTATGATTGTAGTTTCAGTGCTAAAATGCTAGTTATTTGAAGGGATAGAAGACAAAGCACTTGAAATAGGATTATACTAGAAAATCTAGGACTTATGACTGTCTTTTTTTCATAACTAGGAGGTACTGTTCCTCCTACCCCTCTTTAAAAGCATTTCATGTTCTTTGTAGATAATTGGGAAGACAGCAAATAGTTCAAGAGAACATTTAAATTGTCCTCAAGTCTGTCACTGAGAGATAACTAAAGCGATTAGCGTTCTGGTGTATTTTCTTGCTGGCTTCTTTACATTGTGTCACGTATATGCACATGCCTATGAGCATGTGTGTTCGAAACCATTTTCTGTCCTGCATTTCCCACGGAATGGTGTTTTGACATTTTTCCAATGCCATTTTTCTTTATTTCCAGGAAAATCGTGTGAAGAAAAAGAGTGTGACCCACAATTAAGAATACATAGGATGCACATAACCTGGGATGTTAGGGCCAAAGCATACAGACCTTCCTCCAAGACACCACTTGATCCGTATCTTCTAATTACCCGATCCTGTACTTCTTTACATATGTTGGCATTAATGTATTGATAGGAAAGAATTGAAGATTGGGAGTTGATTGCGTTTTAATTTCTTAATTATTTGCCAAAATTGTTGTATCAGACCAATGTATGAAAAGGGATAGTTGAACTCTTTGTCTTGTACTCTTTCACAGATTTGTTAGCTTTTGATTTTTTGGTTAATGGTTTGAAGTTTTACGATGAGTAAATAATTCAAATTAGTTTCTAAGGTTGAGGACTTCTTCCTTCTAGACTCCTTTCTGCGAAACCGTTCAAGTTCTGACCATGAAGCTACCGCCATGATGAAAGCTCAGTTTATGAGTCTGTGGGACGGATTGGATACTGACCACAGCTGTCAGGTGTGTGAAAGAAATCTGCCTTGAGCCGGTGGTGGTGGTGGGTGCTGATGGGGGATGGGGGGCAGCAGTGGGTGCTGGTGGCAGTGGCGACGGGTGTGGGGGGTGGCGGTGGTAGTAGGAGGAAATTTAGTGGGCTACTTCTTAGGCTTTTTTAGAGAAGTTTTTTGTTGTTGTTGGTTCAGTCATTTGTTAGTAAAACTTTATCAATTCATTTAATAATTTATTTCATATTTCACTGATACAAAATGTTTAATACTTAGTTTTCTGGGCCTAGAAAAAAAAATGTTTTAACTTTTTGGTTGGTTTTATTGATTTTTATTTATTTATTTTTTATAATTTTATTATTTTTTTAATTTACATCCAAATGAGTATATTGTGCACCAGTGATATCAGGAGGAAATTCCTTAGTGCCCCTTACCCATTTAACCCATCCCCCCTCCCACGACCCCTCCAGTAACCCTTAGTTTGTTCTCCGTATTTAAGAGTCTCTTCTGTTTTGTCCCCCTCCCTGTTTCCCTTCCCTTATGTTCATCTGTTTTGTCTCTTAAAGTTCTCATAGGAGTGAAGTCCTATGATATTTTTTCTTTCTCTGACTAATTTCACTAGGTATAATACCCTCCAGTTCCATCCACGTACCTGCAAATGGCAAGATTTCATTTTGATTGCCGAGTAATACCATTGTATATATATACACCACATTTTCTTTATCCAATTATCCATCGATGGCTCTTTTCATACTTTGGCTATTGTTGATAGTGCTGCTATAAACATGGGGGTGCATGTGTCCCTTCGAAACAGCACACCTGTATCCGTGGAGAAATGCCTAGTTGTGCAATTGCTGGGTTGTAGGGTAGTTCTATTTTTAGTTTTTTGAGGAACCTCCATACTGTTTTCCAGAGTGGCTGCACCAGCTTGCATTCCCACCAGCAATGCAAAAGAGATCCTCTCTCTCTGCATCCTCGCCAACATCCGTTGTTGCCTGAGTTGTTAATGTGAGCCATTCTGACAGGTGCGAGGTGGTATCTCAGTGTGGTTTTGATTTGTATTTCCCTGATGATGAGTGATG